GGTGAAGGCTGTCTTTTTCGGGAACGAACAGTCTAGAAGAGACGCCAACTGGTGCTCTCTCGACAGAAAATACAGAATACAAGCTACGGAATCCGTCTGTGGCGGGTTTCATGCCCAAGTTGGGCCTTGGGTATCAATACTTGCCGAAAAGGTACAGTCTTTTCAAGCTCTGAATAAGCGAGACCTGTGGCTGGTTATATTCTATAATGCCACCACTAGAATACCTATATTGAAAAGAGACACGCACACAAAAAGAAGGGTTTATAAAAAAGAAACCCTTTTGTTGTTGTGTGGTTTGCAATTCCTCTTGTGGCTCTGCAATTGAAACCTGTACTACGACTGCATAGGGTGTTGTCTTCCAAAAGGGAACAATCAACCAGTCAACGGATCAATCAGCGCAAGGAGTGGGAAAGGGGTGGATGGAATATGCGCCAACCTTCGACAACGCATATTACAGCAGCGTCATGTCAGCAGCAGTGGCATACTCAGTACTATGCTATTTGTTCGTTTGCTCGTAGGATCTAGGCAGGTCGCAGCCAGACGCTTTTAGTTGCAGACAAAAGACGGACGGAAAGCCAGCATAACCATTCCCGTCCTTACTAAAGGCTACCTAGGTACCTAACCTCCTACTACTACTGCCGTCGTTCTAGAGGCTTGGGCACGGCAAGAGAGGGTCTTTGTTAAAGCTTCAGTCCCACGGTCCTGCCCCATTCCGGGGGCCAATACACCAATACAGGCCCCATACAACCAGCACTCGGGCACTGAAGTAATAAGGGAGCCTGCATTAGTTAGCCCACCGCCCGTCCACGCTCTCACCCGGGGACGACCTAGAGCTGGACGACGAAACAATGTCCGCCTATGGCAAGCTCCCTCGACGGACGGAGTCATTGTGCGCTTTCGCGAATGGGGTCACGCGGCGACTCCTCTGCAGCAGTAGCAGCAGCAGCATTCCTTTCCTGGGCGAGTTGCTGTACAGAAGACAGTAGCAGCTCGCTACTGTCTGCACTTGTACCGCCCGTAAATGGCGAGGACGTGGCAGAGCGGTCTATGCACCCTTGCCTCTCAGTGAACAGCAACTTGTTCAACCATACGCAAGGGCACACCCAGCCCCCGTGGTGATTATTCTGGACGGTGTAGACGCAACTCCCGGATAAGCGGGACTATACCGACGACAGGCAAATGGCACACGTAGCTTGGGTTCCGGTGCCGTTTTAGGGAACCATGGGGCGTTCTTTAGATGATGTTGTTAGGACAACGCTACCTAGGTACGGAGTACGTTCTAGATGGTGACGATGTGGTACACCACACGATACAGTCCGTATTCTCCTTACTTCGAATCCTACTCCCGTCATCACTAGGACACACGTGTATTGTATAGAATCACAATACGGTTTGAAGAGGATGCGGCGGTGCCGATCCACATGCTGCATACAGTTTACGGCCAAGCTACTGCAGAACTTGATGTTATTACCTAGGTATGGTCCTGCTCCTCAAGAGCCCCCATCCAAAGAAATCCCCAAAGTGGTAGGCAGCGGATTTCACAATTGACCTAGTTCATGCAAGTCGATTGGCTCGCCCTGCCTGTTAAGAGAGCGTGTGTGGCTGCCTCGACCGTATGCATGCAGTCCTACATTGATTGCAGTCTAGGTGGTAAAAGGAAACAGCCACTTACATCGATAGTAAAACAAGTTACGCAAGCATACAAGCAGCAGGCAGTGACGATTCCTTCTTCATCTGCTAGTATCGACAGGTACGAAGCATAAGTCTTGCGTAAGTGGAATGAACCGTACCTGCCATCGCTCGTTATGGTTCCTATACAAGTCGAAGACGAAGAGTGCACCTTCTACTAAATCATCTATATGTGTCCCTTGGCTCATAGACTTGCTGATACGAGTTTGACACGGAAGCAGATCGATTGTTTATACACATTGCTCCTCTAGATACTTCTTCTCATAATTAGGACCACTCCATTTAGACGAATCGCTGATTAGTTCAGACAACAAAGCATTCCTCCAATCGCAAGGTATGGTAAAGGGAAGTCTGTCAACGGTGCGAGAACGCGTGATCTAGCAAATGGCAAACTATCGTACAGCAAACAAACTCAACCTCATCGGTTCTAAGACTCCAGAACACATCGTCAATACGCCCCACTTACGATAAAGCGATAAATGAGCCATGATAGGTCGCATATGGTTGCCCGTAGAGTCGTACGTCATTTGTCCTCGGGCAAGTGAACGCCAATGAATTCATTGATTATTTAAGCTAAGGCTAGAGGCATACCTCACGGTCACGAGACTGACAGAAAGCAACAGATAAATCGTGAAGACAACCAACCTCGTTGTGGGGTCCCTTGGCATTGCCGGCGAAGGATAGGGACAGCGAGCCTCACCGCTCTTTCAATAGGAGTGTAAGGGACAACCTTGTAGCATCATCATCATCATCATCATCACCACCATCATCATATTGCGTCCCAACCTCTACACTAGGATACCACTGCCTATGAGCTATGCCACGATCTCGTACTAAGCGCCTTTTTGGTTAGGGTCCATATCCCCATCCCTAGGATTGCGGCAGTATCGGGAGTGACGTGGTGGCTCCTTCTTCGCTCGGAAGAGAACGGGTCCCCCGGCCTCATTTGGCACGCAAATCAAGCTGCCCGCTACGGTAAGTCGTGCCAGACGGCCGTCGCCGTGACATTTGAACATACCTCGGAGAAATCATTTCATTAGCCCGTGAATGGGGACACGAAAGAGCAGGACAGGTGCCGGATATTACCTGCTTCCCACATTCATCCTTGAACCCAGAGCACTACGGGACTGGGCAGCGCTCACGACCGGTCGGCATATGCGAGTGCTCGTGCTGCTCTTATCGTCGTGTTGGAATGAGTCGATAACGAAAAGACTTCCTGTCTAGTTTGATGGTGCCTTGTTTGCGTACGTCTCTCACTACCAAAGGCGGTTGTAAAGACTAGGTGGCTCGAACTGTCCTTACATGGCATTATTATTCGATATTGCGTCGTGGTCCACGACTGAGCGAATGAGAAGCATTATAGGCGAACCGACATCGCATCTCCAATAAGCTCCTTTCCTGAATGACAGGTCTCCATGCAACAATGACGGATCAAGTTGACACGAGAGAGTGTGTACCAAAGCATGAATAGTTGAATTCAACCATAGTCTGTAAGATAGACATTAGCGTAAGTTCATTTTTGATCTTCTTTCCACCAGAACTACAGTATAATGACATTGTGAGCAGGTCGAAGAATGCGGAGCCATGGCCGTAACACAGCAAAGATACCGTTACGGGATCTAGGGATATCCCACGCGTAATAGGGGGCTTACCCGGGAATAAGGAGGTGATGCCAAGGACCGACCTTACTTTTGGTTTCTCTAAGGAAATCTGCGGGAAAGTCGTGATAGGAATTACCCTATCTCGTCTCTAGCGACGTCGAGATAGCGTTGTGCCGTTTACTCCTCATATCATGGCCTCAGGGTAAGAACACATCGGATGATGAGAGTAACTGATGATAGAGGTTGGAGGTGTCAGTGTCGCCTTGACTTCGAGGGGGCATATTTGGCATTCCAGGTACGTATGATTAGGGGACTCAACAACGAAGTTCATAGAGTCCAGTTACAGTCGGCACCGAATACTAACCTATCACAGTAGTCTTGATCATTAACTGGATGGCAGTACCGGTCGTCTCCATGCAGCGACAAGTGAAACCAAGGGGGGTGATGTTGTTACTATCATACGGCCAAGGCCAGAACCCGATTTCCAGCAATCTTCTCGATACACATGCCTTAACACCGCTCTTAGTCCGGAGTTTACGGGCACTAGACCAACAGGTTGTATCTCTTGGCAACTTGCTCAAGGCGACGTTACGACGTTAAGGAGCGGCTGACGAGCTGGTTATATTAATTACTGGTTTCAGATGCCCAGGTCAGGACCAAGTTAGGACCACGTCCCAGCCGCGTGGGCCATGTGTAGAGTGCAGGTTGGTGTAACGACCACGGCAGGGGCCATTGTTGCAGGTCCCAAACTCTCTTCAAACCTGGGCTCTCGACGTCATAGAAGTAAAACTCAACTCGATCACGCAAAACAAGTCGCCATGGAACAACTCCACTCGCGTGGTGAGAAGGGTCAAGATTCTGGTCAGGAGTTTGGCTTAAAACATATCGTCCGGGAAATAACATTTTTTGGCATGACCCCCCCTGGGCACTTGATCCAAGCGAGATCGACGATCGTACATCCGTGACAGCCGCAAACGCCGCGACGCGAGAGAGCTTAGCCTTTAGACTTAGACTTGACAGGCACCTAATTCGACTGGGTCGGATGCTGATTGGACATAGCTACCCTCCTCCAGCCTCACGTGGTTGTAGGCTTCACGTGACAGCTGTCCATCCGGGGATTGACATACCGGTAGTGCATACATACTAATTTTACTGCCGAGAGTCTCTCCTCCATCCCAAAGGCGATCGCCCAGAGTTGGGTTACTTGGCCCCCGGTAGCCTGACCTCCCAAGCGACCTCGAAGACCCAAGCAGATACGGGTTGAGCCGAAGTGGAAAATCTGCAGATGATGGTGATCCTCGACTCCCGGTTAGAAACCTTAGGACTGGGGAAGCTGAGTGTGTTGCAGCTAAACATCTAAGAGCGATTGACCAAATCGTCTTCCTTGTTGTAGATTCAGTGCGCATGCACAACAACGTGTATCCGACGTATCAGTGACGAGAGATCGACAAAAACAATTCTCCTTTGAGGACGAATCTTTAGCAAAACTCAATCTACAAGGAAGACATGCATTCGGTACTAGTATACAAGATACAGTGCCAGAGGGACGGCCCGACGCAGTCTCTGGTTTACACACAGCACTGGTAAACAAGGTAAACCCATCCATCTTATCATTCATGACCTGCTCGCGCATGCCTTCTCCAAGAAGGCCACATGCAACAAGGGCAAAAGGGCAAAAAAGTTCCACAAAATGTATGAGTCTAAGCTCTACTCCGAATCGGGGAATCGAACCCCGGGCTTGACGGCAACCCCTCTTGACCGTAGGAAGAATGAGAGCGTCAAATGTTAGCCACTACACCAATTCGGAGAAAATTATACATGGAGGTATAAGGTGGGATGGAACCATTGCTGCTGGACTCGCGGGGAATCGAACCCCGGACCACTCCCAAGTTTTCTCGTGAGCCTTTTTCTCAGAAGAGAGGAAGAGCACGATCAGATGCTAAGGGAGTATTATACCACTAAACCACAAGCCCTACCAGGCAGGAAGCTTACAAGCTTCCTTGGTGTGGGCTCGTCGGTCGCTAAAATGGCATTTGTCGTCTGCCTTGGTGAAAAGGTGAAGAGACTTCAGGTTTTGGTGGTGCCTAATAGTTCTTAGTGTGGTGCCGCTAAGCAAACAGAGACTTGGATTGAACGCGTTAGCTCAAATGAGCCGACGGTGGAACTCAGCTTCTTACTCACCTACGCCGACATCGTGCGTAGTATCACCCCTCCAGAGAGTTCACCTTTCTGCACAAAGGAAGAAAAAGCAAATATGCGCACGCATGGACTTCTCGGAAAATTCCAAGTTGATATGGAGACTGACTAACATGGAGAGATATCAAGTCAAAGACGGGTGGGCATCGTTTCAAGCTTTTCCGAGCCATTCCGGTGAAGGTGGGGAATTTGGGCCGTAACTGTGATGACTCTTAACCGTCAACCGTTCAAATTTCCACCCACAACCTATCTTGGGGTTGCAACCGGGGCTGTGGGCGGTTGATAAGACTCTGTCATCTGACGCATGCCGAAGCACTATAGCAAGTGTCTCCAAGGCAAACAAGAATATTCCCTCTACCTACCTACTTACCTACCTACTTACCTACCTACCTACCTCCCTACCTCTACTGCTATCTTCCTACCTACATTATGCAGTAGTGGTTGTCTCCAGTCACACCGAAGGTGGCAAGGTTGTGGTGTGGTCGATAACGGTAGGTGGTATTTGCTATGGGATGTACACGAGTATTTGCTAGGCTAGGCGAGTGAGGGGAGCATAACTCTCCGCACCACAAGTACCTACAATACTATCTATGCATGTGTGCGTGCAGGTAGTAAGTATACGAGGTAGTAGGGTAAGAAAGAGGTAGGTATGACATTTTCTTGAGACGGGCGCACTAATCTGAAAATACCCATTTCGCTGATGGGTTGTCGATTGCTACTAGCGCCATAAGCTTTGTCGAATTCCCTGTTTTGCATATCCATCTTGATGGTCATTCTGCCTTTTCCCGTCTCCATCACAAGTCTCCATAGTATTAGTAGTTTATTTCGATAGCAGTCAGATAGTATAGTTCGTCTGGTGTCTTACAAAGCACCTTTGCATGTTCACCTACCTACCTATGTACTTACATCACAACTAATATGCCTAAGTAACCTATGTTAGTTACTACCTAGGTACTAGCATCTAGTAGGTACGTATACTTGACAGGACACGCTATGCACTAATAGCAGGCTTCCCACCAGCGATGCCCTACGTATAGCAAGGAAGTAAGTAAGTAATCTACCATGTCTGTCAGTCTCTACCATTCCTGGTCCACTATAGCCGCAGCAGCCGGGCTTTTTGAGTTCTTTGATTGGAGATTGGACAAGTTTATGTATGGGGTACGGTATGGTATGTGCATGCATGCATCATTTCTACATCACGCCACGGCAACGTGCACATAAAGAGTTGAAGCCAAAGTGGCCGAAGCACCCAACTCATGCAAGGTACAAACGCGGGCGCGCTGCAGCGATGCAGCACTCCCGATCCCTGGCCGTGCATTTACGATCGACTCACTAACACCGCAGCGAATGATACCGGAGCTCACGAGCCTCATCAGCGTCGCATACAGGTGCACACCCGGCCGCCGAGGCGTGGGGCATGCCTTGGGTACATGGGGGACATGGGGGACATGGGCCGCCGAAGAGGGTGTGCCAACCATGTCAGATGCCCTATCTGACGAGACAGGATAAGACAAGACCCAAGGAACGACAAGAAAAGTGAGCGAGAGTGACAAGAGAGAAAAGTGATCGGAAGAAGAAGAGTGGGGGGAGGGGAGGAGACGAGAGGAGAACAGAGAGGAGAGCAGAGGAGACGACACAGATAGTCGGATTGTCTTACCTAGGTACTTCTTACGAGGCAAAAGCTCGCGGTGCACTCGTATCCTCGCCTCCTCGCCTCCTCGCCCAGTTTTTGCGGTTTCTGCGGCCGGCCCGCACACCATCTTCATATGCGTCGTTCCCTTTTGGGAATATCTCTGCCTCCTGGTCCTGCTCTGCTCCCCTCCAGCTCCCCTCCTAGAGTCTCCTAGTGCACACTAGTCGGAGAGCAGGTATAAGTGGGAATGGGAGTGGGAGTGTGAGCGAGTCTTCCGTGGCCCTGTGCCCTGTGATTTGATTCATTCACGGCAATAAGGGAATAGTAGGTGATAGACCGGCGCCCTCTTTTCTCTCTAAAGCACTCTCTTTCTGGGTGTGGGGTTCTTCTTGAAGATACCTCCCCGTCTTGACAGCTGAGGGACCAGGATGACTATCACACATCGCCCATCTTTACCGACATGGTACGTATACTATACCTACTACTTACTGCTACCTGCTGCTGAAACCCACAAGGCAGCGTCTTAGATCAACAGGTGACTGACTAACCGAGCACCAGCCACTTTCTCTTACACATACATTCTTACTCACTCGGAGCATAGATGCCTTCTGCCTGTGACAATGTATATATATCTGGCCTCACCGCCGTCTTTTCTTGTTTTGTGTTGTTTCGATTTTATCACTTTTGGCTCGAGGCTGCTGGCTTCCTCCCCTCTGGTCACCTTCACACTCACTAAGTATACTTCTTGAAGAGCCAGTCTGGACCCTGGATACTTTCTAAACATCTCTATGATACTCGTAGAGAGTGTGACTTATCTCTCCCGGTCATTGAGGAATTAATATCAACCGAGCTTGGTTGAAATGAAGACTTGGAAACCTGGTTTTCGTGATCAAGGACCCTGGCTCTACCACGTTTCACTATAAATCAAACCAACATGCCTCTCTTACCATCGGACGCACTTCACGCAGTGCACAGGCAATCATGGCCACCTAGCGGGCTATGGCCCTCCAGTCCCAGCCGCATCCCACCGGCGTTAGATGAAGACAAGGACGGCCTCTCTACAGACGATGAAGACATCGACCATACCACAAGGCTCGAGAATCCTCTGAAGTACTTCTTGACGGCCGCCACCCCTAGAGACGAGGAGCTGGAGTTTGAGTTCGACTTCGATGCAGGCATCGAGGACTCCAACAGTCCCCGTCAGATCGTCCGCAGCGTGAGCCCTTCCACGCTCGACGGCCTCAGACGGTACAAGCCCAGGAGCGAGAAAGAAAGAGACTGCGCCATCCTGGACGACGACGACGATATTGAATACAGCGATGAGGACGACGACGAGGACTACATACGGTTCACTCCTCAGAAGTCGCTCCCCTTCGGCCTCGACGACTACTTCGACCACCCGCCGCGCCACAGCTCTCCCAACCACCGCGCCGCGGATGCTCTACTCTCTCCATCCTCGCCATCCTCATTCCATGTGGGATCCCCCAGGGGCCGTCTGGCCAAGCGCTTCGCGCCGCCGCCACCGTCTCGTCGTGTGAGGGCACTCGGCCGGACGCTGCAGCGGCGGCACTCCTGGCGCGAACCCAGCCCGGACGTCTGGTCCATCGACGAAGAGCCGGAGAAGGAGACGATGAGCGAGATGGGGCTCAGCGTCGAGGACCTCGATGCCGACAACAATAAGACTCAACCTATAGACATACCGGCTGCAAAGCCCAGGAAGAAGAAGGTCCGGTTCGTCTTGCCGGCTACCCAGTAGTGGTTTACATATCATTTATCCACTATCTACTCTTCTCATTGCTTGCATATTTCCCAGTCTTGGTCGGGGAAGGACGGGGGAAGGGGACATATTGCATGGTACGGAGTTGCGGGCTCTTCATTACATTGGTGGTGGCTTTTCCTTTTTGCATCATGGTCACTCAGGTTTACCCATATATCCCCATCGTCGTCATCATCATCATCATCATCAGTGTTTCTACATAGTATCAGGCCCTCGGCATATACACGGCGTCTGGACAGGATAAGGGGGTTTCAGTGGGTTTTCCTCTCTTGTTCATTTCCATGGGGGGTTATAGGCATTGTACTCAGTCTGGTAATACCTTGTCTGTACGCGTGGGATTTGGTTATAATACATGGGAACCAAAATATTTACCTGAATATAAATTACACTAAATTGAACCGAATACCCTACAATGTTACCTCTTGTGATAGTGCAATGTGACGGTACTCTCTTCATCACGTTTAATGTGCCCCCCACGCTCGTGCCTCGAAGGAATGAGTGAACATCTGCTATAGAAAAATATCGGTGCCGTCGGCGATCTCCGTGAGGAAAAAAAATAAATAAAAATGTAAGCTCAGTTTGCACTCTACCACCCGAACCGGTCAGCAACGGAGGGCAAGCGGAAGGAAGACCCTCCATTTTCTTACCTTTCTTCATTAGGCGAGAACGTGAATAATGTAAGCAATAAGATAGAGCAATTTTCAACGCTGCTCTTCCGAACCTCTCCGATATTTTCATTCTTTGCCCGTGTGTCTGTCTCTTCTCCATGAAGGTAGTGTAGTATAGCGTAGATCATCGCCCACCGGCGTTGCGTAGTTAGTCTTACGCAATCCTCCCTCCCTCCCTACCTATCCGATCCTGACCACGCGTTGTGCACAGCCCGCCGTTACTCACATGCTCCGTTGTATCCGAATCTTCGGAACTGGCAATTTCTATCTATCTATGTCTAGTTTTTTAGTTGTATTTAGTGTGTAAGTGTAAGTGGTGTCTTCGATTCGGTTCTTCGGGCACAGGTGTGTGTATCATGCATGTATTCCTGGAGTATATCATGTATCACACGAGGCTCTGACACCTACTTATTCCCGCCTCGTGACTAATATGAAGCTAGACGTTTTTTATTCGCTGGCCCTACGCCTCAGATCGGATTCCCTCATGCATATGCAATGTACGGTCGATCCAGCGGCAATCTGCAACCTCAGCCTTGCAGTGGATGTTGAAGGTTATTTCGTACAGGAATATGGCATTACTTTGCGAACTGGTAAATTTTTTAATATCAAATACCTTCTACTGCCACAGGAAAATTTCGCGTTGGTAAGCTCGCTACACAGCTATGTGCGGCGCCTCTCCTTAGCTGATGATGCTTGTCT